GCAAACATATAGTTCACCAACACCTACAGGTTACAAGCCTGCTAGCGTTCCACTGGACTGTCTAAAAAGGTTTGTGGTCGTCATCTATACTCCTCTAGATAACTAGAACAACAACAACAACATCGAGGCTTCTCCCCATTTTAACACATAACAACTATTTCATCTACCCATGTTATACCCAACATATTTGTAGATAAAAATACATATACAGTTTAAATTATTTAAAAACCTTTATAAAACATTTATTCAACACCCATCACAAATAAACAAACAATAAATATACACATAGCACATATTTTATAGAAAATACTTCATATCTATGTGTAAGATGAAAGTAATTACACACTCACTTGATTTAACGATAATCGGGCAGTACTTCGTTTCTTAAAACAATATTTTTCGATGAAACTGGGATGTTTTCTCAAAAACCGGGATTCACGTGGGCAGAGTTTCGTCTCGAAAAAACTCTTTTCTCGGGATCTTCGGGCTCTCCGGGGATTGCTTACGATGCTAGGATGATATACTAGGGTTAGGGTAATTTTTGCAACAAAAGGGAAAGTAGAGGGTGAAAGAAGCAAAATTTTGTAACATAATATGGCTGGCTTCAGTTCCTATTTAGTGGAGACCGAAGCACCTTAGTACGTCGGGGGTACAGCTCAGGTACGCGGGGCGTACTGCCTCACACACTTCTTCGTTGGGTGTAACTTCGTATGTTGGGTGTACGAAGTGGATCAGCTCGGATGCGTCAAGGCTACGATAGGTGGCTCTCATGCAAATGAGTAGGGAGGGTAACAGACTTCGAAACACTTACACGAGTACGCTGGGCATACTCCTTCTGTACGTTGGGCGTACTCCCCCGGACCAACCTCAAAGTTTGTGCCCTAAGTTCAAAAATTCGTAACTTTCACATACGAATTTTGTTTTTAACGTCCTTAATATCCACACGTAGCTATAAGCGTGCTCTACAACTTTCGTTCAGACTCCATCAACTAATTTTTATTTTATTTTTAAAGTTATATGTTTAACAATCCGGGACAGGAAAAGTCTGTTAAATATTCCTAACTTCATTATCCGATGTCCGTTTTCGTCTGTCCTTTTCACAGTTAAACTATAATTGATAAGATCTTCAATTCTTGTTTAGGTTGTTTTGGTTAAAAATCACTCGATCTAAAATTCGAGTTTCGAACTGCCTACTACTATGTCAAATCTTAGAAAATTCATAACTTCCTCATACGAAGTCAGATTTGGACATTCTTTTTATGCACGCTCTCGGATTAACGAATACTACGACTTTCATTTAGTTTGCTAAGAAAAAAAATACTTTATTGTAAATTCACTTTTAACGTCATACATCATCGTATCAGTTATGTCGCGAAACTTCGACAAGTCATAATTTCTTCGTTATAACTCGGATTTCGGTATACTTTATATCACCGAAATCCTTGTTTCAACCACTACAACTTTCTTCATAGATATCGGGTTTATCTAACGTTTATTTTTGATGTTTATTTTTATCCTTAATTCATTAAATCATAATAATTAAGCAATAAACACATAATAATCAAATAATACATTTTTATTATTTCAAAAATAAGTTACAAAGGTTGACCTAGACTATTACATCATCATTAATGTCTAACCTAGAAAAACAGACGTTACAATTCTTGTCGGTGGGAAAGCTTGAGGCGGTGGAAGACAGACGGTGGTGCTTCGTCACCGGTGAACAACTCGAAACACCAAAAAAAACCCCAAATTCGGGGTAAAAATAATTATCACGCAACAATAAAAAAACTCAATAAGAGTGGAAATACATTACTTGGGTCTAATCGCCGGTTATGGAAGTTGGAAGATGATTTTCGTCGGAGAGGGTGAATGAAGAGCGTCGCGGTGTGCAAATGAACAAAGACTGCGTTCTTTTAAGGGTAAACCTATATGCCGACGACATGTTGTCGGTATAGGGTATATATAAACGATGTCGTTTCGTTTTTTGCTGAAAAAAAAAAAAAAAAACCCTATGCCGACGACTTGTCATCGGGGTAGCCGAATCATGCGGATCGTCATGTGTCATGCCAACGACTCGTCGTTGGTATAACATACATAAAACTACGTCGTACTGTATTTCTGGCACATGGAATAAAAATAAATGGATAGTAGATTTTTTGATATCTATCCTGACGACATGTCGTCGGTATAGACTTTCAGAATACCACAAACAATTTTGTCATTCCCGCCAGACTTGTAGCGACGACGTGTCATCAGCACAAATATCCTAGTCAAAGAAAAGCGGTCAAAGTTTACAAAAGATATGGCGACGACATGCGTCGTCGGGATAGGTGTCATCGGCATAACTCCGTTTCCTTGTAGTATCTACATAATTATATGGACGAAAATAATATTGAATTGACCTAAGTTCGGATGATCATCGATGCAATTTTTTTTTATTAAAGATACAAGAATAGAATTTTTTTTAAATTAACCCATATCATTTCTAGTTATTTCCGAGATAAAAGCCTCCAACATAAGTTTCCATCGAAAACGTGTAGAAATTCCAAGGGATTTCTAAGGAATTTTCATTTAAATGCACGTATTCTAGGACTCCTACTAAATGTTCTTTAGAAAAAACAACTTTTCTAGTATTGCTTTTTTTCTGTAAAATTGTAATAAATGTTTTTTTTTTGTTAGTTATTGCTGCTAAACATTGGAAAATAGAGACACAAGAGTTGGCTTCCTTTTTATTTTTCAAATTTATCCCAATAGTACGTTGAGGGCATGCTCTATTAATTTTTTTTATCCATTGGGGCTCCTCTTATAGTCTTCTTGTGTCCGCTCCTGCCCAGAAGTTGTGGGAGTGCCATGGCTGGTCTCTACAAAGATACTATGTTACTCCAAGATACGAAATATTTTAGAGTAACTTACAAATTTTATCTTTTTTTCAAGTCCAAAAACGAATACTTTTGTAATTTTTTGCAATTTTGATCCTTATTTCATGGTTGTCATCAGTTCAATTTGTGAAAAAAAAAACCATTTTACTCTCACTTCACCAATGCATGGGCGGAGCCACACCAGAGTCAGGGTGGCCCTAGGCCCACCCTTAGTTTTTTATTATTGTTATTTTTTTTTGTGTGAATTACATGTTATATATCATTATTTGCATTTGCTAAAATAAAGATCACTTAGCTCAACTGGGCAAAGGGGTTTCTCTATTTCCAATAATCCTATGTTCAAGCCTATTTGATGACAAAATTTTGAACTTCCGAATCATTTAATTTCACTTTAATGTTTTAACCATTTATTTATATTATCAATTTCACAATTTAACCAATCTTCTAACTTCTTTAACAAATCAGTTTTAGAAGTTTATATATTCTATCCCTCAATTTTTATAAAATTTTACTTTTCTTATTTAAATAATAAAAACCTTTGTAATTACTTTTTGAGTTTTATCATGTTAAAACTCACTCCTACAAATTTATTTTTCTATTTAGAAGGGTCCAATTTTAGTTTTCACACAGTGTCTTTAAAATTAACGGACCAATTAATTAATTTAGTTATTTTTTAAGTTTTCTCTGGTTATATCTCATTCTATAAATTTATTTTCCTTATATAAAAAGTTATATTTAAAGGGGTTTAATTTTAGTTTTCGCAAAGCATCCTCAAAATCAATTGACCGACTATATATATATATATATATATATATATATATATATATATATATATATATATATATATATATATATATATATATATATATATATATATATATATATATACATACACACACAATGTTCTAAAAAGCTCGTCATGCGCGCCACGACTCCAATGCTTGCACATGCCGCCAACCTTTGCCAAAACGCCGTGTTAACTCATATATGTGTATAAAAATGAATAATAGTTGAAAATACATATGAAAATATTAATTATATAGAAAATTGTCGCCTTAAGTCACGCCTTACAAACATCGTGACTCGCTAAGGCTTGGAAAAGCTTGAGGCTTGACATTGCCGCCAAGTCACGCTTTATGTTATTTAGAACCTTGTATATATATATATATATATATATATATATATATATATATATATATATATATATATATATATATATATATATATATATATATATATATATATATATATATATATATATATATAATATATATATATATATAGGAGTAGGATCAAATAAGAATGCCTAAAAGGTTGAGAACGCGAGAACACTTATCAGCCAAACATTTTATTAGGGTATTTAAGTAAATTTGTATTTAATATAATTTTTAATTAATATAATACAATTATAATCAATATATTATCCATTAATATTTACCTATAATTAAGGGATATTCCATAGTTATCGTTCAAGGAGATATAAAATTGAAGATACGATTTCCAGTATATCATTCGTGATTTAGTCAATCGACATTTGTATCTGTAACATCGTTTACAGTCGAAGATAACAACGTTGGAATTTGTTATCCCAAAATATTGATGTCAGACTGTTTTGATTACAGTAGCGAGGATACCGAAGATGATGATCAATATGGCGACAAAGCATTCGACAATAATCAATATGATGAAGACGATTTCTATCATTCGGATGATTAATACAGCGGAAGAAATCAATTATTTGATTATGCGAGTAAAGGTAACAAATGAGAACAACATCAACATCTTTTAAATATAGATCATGTATTACAATCATTATTGAATTTTTGTATATGATGAATAAGACATGTCATTTATTCAATACATATTTGTATACGATTAATCATATACTTTGTATGTATTAATTAGTTAATGTTGGTGTATATCACATATCGTTGTACATTGTTTTTTAAGTTTAATACAATGTTGATTAAGTTTGATAAGCATTGGTGATTATGCGTTAATACGATTAAAATGAGTAAACACTTCAACTTTGATTACTGTTTCACAGACGTTGATTATGATTATAAAACTGTTTAGTTTATGTATACGTAATTGATCGAAATTTTTATCATGTCTCTCATGTCGCATTATTGTTTTTTGTTGTCTAAAAAAACAGGTACAAATCGAACTGATTCTGAAGAGGAATCATTCAATAGTAATGTTGTTGACTCGCCCGGTGGGAAAACCAAGTTGTGGAAACCTATTGTTCCTAAAGAATTTATGCCAGATGTAGATGCTACTTATCAATCATTAGAGGAGGCGGTTGAAACGTATAAATTATATGCAGATAAAGCAGGTTTTGGTGTCAGGTTAAATACAGTAACAAGGTTTGGTGACAAAACCATTAAAAAAAGGTATGTAGTGTGCAACAAAATGGGTAAAATACCTAACAGATCAACTGACACTTTGGATCCTGAGGGAAGTGGAAGGAATAAACGAAACTCAAACTTCAGAATCACGGACTGCAAGGCATTGATAAAGTTTGAAATGTTACATATGTGAACTAATGCTTGTAAAAATATGAGTTTGAAGAGAATCACAACCACCCCCTAGAAACTAAAGAAGAAAGACGGTATTCCAAACGTGCATGACGACTTAGTTATAAAGACAAGGAGTTTATAGTGCGTTCTTCAACATCTAACATTGGTGCAACAAAGGCACATAAGTTACAAGCTAGTTTGCAAGGAGGTTATGAAAACGTTAGCCCTGAAGCAATTGATTATAAAAATTTTAGAAGGAAGATGGGAAACATTATAGGTGACAAGGATGCACAGCTAGTTGTTGACAAAATGAACATGAGGAAAGATGAGTTACATAACTACACATTTGAGTATAAATGTGTTGATAGTGTGTTAAACGCAATGTTTTGGGCGGATGAAACCGATACGTTATATTACAAGGAGTTTGGAGATGTGATCTCATTTGATGCTACATTCCGAACAAATAAGTTTGCTCTTATAGTTATTATACATTTTTTTTTCTTTAAATATGAATATTGATGTTTTTTGAGTTTATAATCAATGTTCAATTTGTTTTTAATTACCTTTTTAATACATGTATGGAATGATTTTTGTGCTGCTTACAGCCATTGATAACCACAAACGTTCAATAAACATTGGAGCAGGTTTGTTAAGCAACGAGTCAATAGAATCTTATCGTTGGTTGCTCGAAGCTTTTTTGAAAGCACATGTAAAACACCATCAATTAGTTTTAACAGACCAAGATCTAGCAATTCTACAGGCCATTAAAGCAATATTTCCTATTTCTAATCATCGTTTATGTATGTGGCACATTATGAAAAAACTACAAGCCAAGGTGTGTATATTTTGGTTAAAGTTAACACGCAACATGTTTTATTCAGCAATGATTTACACAGTTTACACATTTTTAAAAATGATTAGCATACATATTGTTTATTCATAGTTAATCCTATAAAATTCTAATTTTTTTTAGGTTTCAGCCGATTTTTTGAAAAACACTGATTTTCGAAAGCGTTTTACTAAGCTTGTTTGGAATGTCTACATCGAGCCTGAAGTCTTTGAATCAAGGTGGAAACTACTTATGAGAAAATTCAAACTACAGGACAAAAGATGGATCAAAGACATGTACAGGGATCGAAAGCTTTGGATTCCAGCCTATTTTAAAGACATGCCACTACACGGTCTGATGAAAACTACTTCAAGGTCTGAAAGCGTCAACTCATTTTTTAGTAAATACTCTAACTCTGGTAATTTGCTTATCTATTTCATGATGAACTACGACACCGCAATTGGAAAGCAACGAAATGCTCAACAGAAACTAGAACATGATACAAAAAATGCAAAGCATGAAATGACGCTTCCAAGTGGATTACTAAAACATGCAGCTGCGGTTTACACTAAAAAAAATTCTATGAGGTCAAAAATGAAATATTTAAAGCAGCCTGGTACTGTTCTATCGACAGTGTTGAAAAGATTGATGGGTGACAAGTTGTTATGATTACATAAACGGATAAGATGATAAAATGCAAGGTTATATTCATCGTTTAAATGCTATTCATTAGTGATCATACAAGTATATTATATCATTATTTTTAAATTACATATACTTGTTTCAATATTATGCAATAACCACCAACTAATATGTTAATTCAATCAGTTACTAACATACATTATTTTTATTATACAATGTAGGTTGAACTAATGTTGCTTGAAAAAGAAGTTAAATGTTCATGCAATCACTTCATACGTACTAGCATTTTGTGTCGTCATATTTTTGTTGTATTGAAAAACAACCATATTGAAGAGATTCCAGAGCAGTATATTCTAAGAAGATGGAGAATGGATGCAACTTCCAGCCATTTGCTTGCCATGAAACATGTTGCCATGGAAACAGAAGATGACACCTTTAAACTTCTAACAGAGGCATACAAAAATATTGAATACTGCTTGGATCATTTCAAAAGAAGCAAGGAGAAATTGTTGGAATGTTTTGAAAAAACACATAAGTTGAAGGAGGCAGCAATGGATTTTCGCAGTTCAAACCAAACATCACCTGATAATGATGAAGAAGAAATTATTCGGATGCTTGGAATACGCAACATTCCTGATGAAATAAATATCCATCCACCTTCATCTATACGTACCAAGGGTAGTGGAACTAAGAAAAGAATGGTTAGTGCTATTGAGAAAGTTGTTGCAGCTGCAAAGAAAAAAACTAGAATGTGCACAGGTTGCAATCAATATGTTAACCATAATTGGACTTGCAAAGTCAGACTTGCACGAGAGTCAAAACAAGCTTAAAATGGCCCATTCGTTTGCCTAATAGATTTTACTTTTCTATTAGATTTATGAATAAGAATATGTTTCTACGATTTAGTATGTTATGTTATCTTAAAACACCTTTATTATTTTTAACGTTTTGTTTTATTCAACAATGAATAATAGCATTGCCAAATCTGGTAATCCTAACAGATTAATGATTTTATCAGGCATTTAAACCTCTGTTATTTGATTAAAACAGTTTGCACTTAGAATAGATATATTTTTCCTTTCTTCAAATTATAAAAACATCAATCATTATAGACTATAGTCATATACAATTCAAGCAGTATTCATAGTTTATTGTATGCTGTTAGTAGT